AAGGGAAATTTTGGCGAAAAAAATCAGAATTTTTTTCGAAAAAATGGGATTTTTTGGCGCTAAAGCATCGGATTTTTTCGGGGTAAAAACCGACATGTTCAGTGAAAAGTGTGGAATTTTTTGGGTGTAAAAAATGCAATTTTGGGACTCACCGGATGTCGTCGTCGGTGACCACGAAGGCCCTGCAGAGGGGTTGGGACGTGTTGAGCCAAATTCCCGGATTTTTCTCCACGGCCGCCGAGTTCTGCCCCGTGATGGGAGCGGAGCCGCTGTGCAGGGCGCTGGCCACGGCCGAAAGCAACGACTCCGTGCTGGCTCCGGGGCCGACTCCTGCAAAAAATTCCCAAATTTTCATCAAATCCCAAATTTCCTAAAATTAGGATTTTTGTCCCGGTGAAAATCCCATTTTTTTCCGCGAAAAAATGGTGTTTTTCGGGTGAAAAAACGAGTTTTTTCGCCCGAAAAATGCGATTTTTCGTCTTCAAAAATTCAATTTTTCTCACCAAAAAAACTCAATTTTTCCACCAAAAAATCCAATTTTTCCTCAAAAATCCTCAATTTTTTTCTCCCAAACACTTGATTTTTCCTCAAGAAAAATTCTAATTTTTTTCCCCAAAAAACCATTTTTCCCACTTTTCTGGCCAAAAAATCCTGATTTTTTAACCCCAAAAAATCCCTTTTTATCTCAAAATAATCCCAATTTTCCTGCCAAAATTCCCATTTTTTTCTCAAAAGAATTCCGATTTTTTACCCCAAAAAATCCCATTTTAGCTGAAAAAAAAAATCCCATTTTTCCTTCCAAAATTCCCATTTTTCTCCCCAAAAATTCCCTTTTTTAATACCAAAATTTGCATTTTTTCCCACTAAAAGTTGCTTTTTCTCCCCAAAAAAACCCAATTTTTTCCTCAAAAAATGCCATTTTTCCCCCCAAAATTTGCATTTTGCCCCCAAAAATTTTCCTTTTTTCCTCAAAAAAATTCCACTTTTTTTCCCCAAAAAACATCACTTTTTTTTCCCAAAAAACCACTTTTTTCCCACTTTTCTGGCCAAAAAAACGCCATTTTTTTCTCAAAAGAATTCCAATTTTTTACCCCAAAAATCGGTATTTTATACCCAAATATTCCCATTTTTACCCACTATTTTCCCACCCAAAAAAAACACTTTTTCCCCAAAATATTTTTTTTCCTAAAAAAAAACAAATTTTGCGCCAAAATTCACATTTTTTTCCTCAAAACAATTCCCATTTTTCCCCAAAAAAATCGCTTTTTTTCCCCAAAAAATTAAATTTTTCCCAGCAAAAATTCCTGTATTTCCTACCAAAATTTCCCATTTTTTATTTTAAAAATTTCCATTTTTTTTTAACCCAAAAACTTCCCGTTTTTTCTCCAAAAATTCCCATTTTTGGGGCCAAATTCGAGGATTTTCCCCCCAATTTTCCCCCATTTTATTCTCATTTTTCACCCAATTTTCCCTCAATTTTTCCTTCAAAAATTTGAATTTTCTGCTCATTTTTCCCCCATTTTTTCTTCATTTTCCCCCAAATTTTCCCTTCAAAATTTTGATTTTTTTTGCCCATTTTTGGCCCAATTTTTCCCCATTTTTTTCTCATTTTTCACCCAATTTTTCCTTTAAAAATTCGAATTTTTTTCCCAATTTGTCCCCATTTTATTCTCAATTTTCCCTATTTTTCCCCCAAATTTTTCCCATTTTATTCTCATTTTTTCTTCATTTTTCCTTCAAAAAATTTGAATTTTTGGCCCATTTTTGTTTCACCCAATTTTTCCTTTAAAAATTCGAATTTTTTTTCCCAATTTTTCCCCATTTTATTCTCAATTTTTCCCCCAAATTTTCCCCATTTTATTCTCATTTTTTTTCTTCATTTTTCCTTCAAAAAATTTGAATTTTTGGCCCATTTTTTGCCCATTTTTCGCCCATTTTTCAGCCAATTTTTTCCCGATTTTCACCAAATTTTCACCCAATTTCCCCCCAATTTTTCCCCAATTTTTCCCCAATTTTTGCCCAATTTTCCCTGTTTTTACCCCATTTTTCCTCACCTTGAAGCCCTTTGGGCAGCTCCATGCATTTGATGATTTCTTCACTCACGTCTGAAGCGCTCAGGCCCTGCAGCCGCTTCTCCCAAAAAAGCTGCCAAAAAAATTGGGAATTTTTAACCAAAAAATCCAAATTTTACCCCAATTTTTTCCTGATTTTCATTCCAAGTTTTCCCCAATTTTTCCTGATTTTTTCCCCAAGATTTTTTGATTTTTGTCACATTTTTAACCCAATTTTTCATCCAAAAATCCGAATTTTTTTTACCCAATTTTTCCCAAATTTTCCCCCCAAATTTTCCCATTTTTTCCAATTTTTTCTTTATTTTTCCTTATTTTTATCTTAATTTTTCCCCAATTTTTCCTAAATTTTTTCTACATTTTCTCCTTAATTTTACCCAATTTTCCCCAATTTTTCCCTGATATTTTCCCAATTTCACCCCAATTTTACCTGGTTTTTTTTCCATTTTTTTGCCAATTTTCCCCCAATTTTCCCCATTTTATTCCAACTTATCCCAAATTTTTCCCTAATTTTCCCCCAAAATTTTCCTGATTTTTTTCTCTATTTCCCCCATTTTTTCCTCATTTTTTCTTAATTTTTCCTTATTTTTTTCCTATTTTTTTCCCAATTTTCCCTCCAATTTTTCCTCAAATTTCCCCCAATATTTTCCAAAATTTTTCCCATTTTTCCCCCAATTTATCTTAAATTTTTCCTAATTTTTTCCCATTTCCCCCCAAAATTTTTCTTGTTTTTTCTCTAATTTGTCTCCAAAGTTTCCCAAATTTTTCTGGATTTTTTTCCCATTTTTTTTCTTTTTTTTTTAAATTTTTTCCCCAATTTTTCATCATTTTTTCCTAATTTTTCCCATTTTTTTCTAATTACTCCCCAATTTTTCCCAATTTTTTTTCCCAATTTTTTTCCCATTTTTTAATCCAATTTTTCATAATTTTTCCCACAAATTTTCCCCCAATTTTCCCATTTTATTCTCATTTTTTTTTCATTTTTCACCCAACTTTTCCCCATTTTTCCCTTCAAAAAATCGAATTTTTTTGCTCATTTTTCCCCCAAATTTTCTCCCAATTTTTCCTCATTTTTTTTCCTAAATTTTCCTCATTTTTTTCCCTTATTTTTTCCCATTTTTATTCCATTTTTTTGCCATTTTTCCTATTTTTTTCCCAAAATTTCCCAATTTTTCCCCAATTTCCCCAACTTTTTCTCTAAATTCTCCCCCATTTTTTCCAAATTTTCCCAATTTTTCCCATTTTTCTCCAATTTTTCCCCAGTTTTCCCCCCATTTTCTCCCATAATATTCTTATTTTTTAATCCAATTTTTTCCCAATTTTTCCCTCAAAAAATTCAAATTTTTTCCCCATTTTTCATCCGGTTTTCCCCCAATTTTTCCCTCAAAAAATTCAATTTTTTTCCCATTTTTCATCCGTTTTCCCCCATTTTTTCACCGTTTTTCCCCCAATTTTTCCCTCAAAAAAATCAAATTTTTTTCCCATTTTTCATCCATTTTCCCCTCAATTTTCCCCTCAAAAAATTCAATTTTTTGCCCATTTTTCATCCGTTTTCCCCCCCTTTTTCACCATTTTCCCCCCAATTTTTCCCTCAAAAAAATCAAATTTTTT